AATTACATAATTCAATCTTTACGACAGTCTATGCATCTCGATTCTGCTTCTTAATTTCGAATATTCAATCAGCAACTTCAATCTTTTGGTGAGTTTCTCATGATTATATATGATTGCTTCTCAATGTTTGTGTTAATCGTATAATTGAAAATTTTTTTCTTCTTCTGCGACTTCAATTTTGCTTCTCATTGAATTTGTTAATCAAGGTTTCTATTTATCTTTGATTCAGAAGTTGTTTATTAATTATTTTCTATCTTAAATTCTTTATTCGATCCACTCAATTGATCATCAATGTGTATGTGTATGTGTAAAAATAAGCTTCTCTTACGTATGTCTGTGTTAATTCCGTATTTACCCTTGGTATCAACATCAAGATCAATTTTCGTTATTTTAGTTTTCACTTATTTACCTGTTATAACATGCTTCTTTCAAACAAGTAATTATAACAAAACAGTTAGCATTTCTTTTTCTGTCAAATTTCTATAAAATACCTATATAAATTTTGAATCACACTTTGCACTTTCTGTTTTATGGCTGTTTATAGCATTTAACGTTTGTTTTCTGTCAAATTTAGCATCTTATTTGTGTAAAAATAAGCTTCTGTTACGTATGTCTGTGTTAATACTATATTTTGGAATTGATCATCTTTTAGTTTATTTTTCTAAATATATGTTTTATTGTCTATATGTACGTATATGTTTATATCTGTTTTTGAAAAGTATGTTTGCAAGTGATACAATTAAATATATAAATCAATCAGTGCTTTACGATTTTCCTGTTTATATCCTAATTTTTTTGTTAAATATACAGGTTTTTTCTGTTTAGTTTTCGATTTTTAGTTTTTTTCTCATTATATACCCTTAAGGGTATATCAGTAAATATGTAATTTTCTCATTGTTTTCTTGGTAACATCTACACTTAAATGATAAACAAAAGAATTGATTATTTCGTCTGATTTATCAAACCGTTTATATAATAAACAAAAAAGTATCAATTTCTTTTTGAAGTTCCTGTTACACTATATCCCATTTTTAGTAATTTATTCTCAAAGAACAATGCTATAATCTGTAATTTATCATCTTTTAGTTTAATTTTCTAAATATATGTGTGGTTGTCTATGTGTGTGTATCTCTTTAAAAATTCTGCTATTTCATCATTTTATGACCCCCATTTGCGAAGTTGAGTATTTATTTCCAAAAATGCGAAACTCCAGGGACAATATTTGAAAATTTCTGTTTTCTTCCCCAATTCGCATTCTACTGTGAAATACTTCGCATCTTCATTCTTACACCCTTCGCATCCCTTCGCATTAATCACCTTCGCATTTTAACCTAATTAATCAAATGCGAACCACAAAATTTTCATTCCAGATGCGAACACAGTTTAGTTCTTGAACTCTAAACTTGCGAAATCAAAAATTCATATATTGAACCCATATGCGAATATTAACCCAATTGACTTCAAATTGATTCACAGATGCAAACACTCGATTGTTTTACTTTCGCAAAATGAGCATCAACAACTCCACAATCGAGTTTTTAAATTCTTGCAAACAACAATTTCACAGTCCTTGACTTCGCGTTTTTCTTCACGAATCATCCCTCAATCATCAATCCAATTGCGAATCAAAACTCATATGTTCTTGCTTTATCGATTCATCGACTACACTCATACAAATGCGAACAATACTCAATTTCAAAATCGATTGAAACTTATAGCAAAGCTAAATCCAACTTCGCATTCAAAGCAGTGTTATTGATTGCATTCATGAAATACTAACAAGATAATATATTATAATACAAATATACATATTTTAGGTGGTGAAATCGTAACAGCCTAACAATTTGGTATGCAACTTTATTAAATCAATAAAAAAAGTTATGCAAATTGGAAAAATAAATAAAAATATATCTTTTGTTGTTTTAATTAAGGAAATAAATATTTTATATGAATACTCACCTGGAAAAACGCATATTATAATTGTCTAATTTAATCGTAACAGCCTACCAATGTACTTTCTTCTTGACTGTTTGATTGTTTTTTTCTGTGTGCTGATTATAATTGTCTAATTTAATGTAAATTTTTTTTTTAACTTGCAAGGTACAATGGAACATATTACTCCTATAAAGGAAATTGACTCAATCAAGGACGATTTCACAATTAAAGTTCGGATCATACGTCTTTGGACTCAAAAGTCAAGAACAATGTCTTATAATTGTCTATATCCCATTTTTAGTAATTTATTCTCAAAGAACAATGCTATAATCTGTAATTTATCATCTTTTAGTTTAATTTTCTAAATATATGTGTGGTTGTCTATGTGTGTGTATCTCTTTAAAAATTCTGCAATTTCATCATTTTATGACCCCCATTTGCGAAGTTGAGTATTTATTTCCAAAAATGCGAAACTCCAGGGACAATATTTGAAAATTTCTGTTTTCTTCCCCAATTCGCATTCTACTGTGAAATACTTCGCATCTTCATTCTTACACCCTTCGCATCCCTTCGCATTAATCACCTTCGCATTTTAACCTAATTAATCAAATGCGAACCACAAAATTTTCATTCCAGATGCGAACACAGTTTAGTTCTTGAACTCTAAACTTGCGAAATCAAAAATTCATATATTGAACCCATATGCGAATATTAACCCAATTGACTTCAAATTGATTCACAGATGCAAACACTCGATTGTTTTACTTTCGCAAAATGAGCATCAACAACTCCACAATCGAGTTTTTAAATTCTTGCAAACAACAATTTCACAGTCCTTGACTTCGCGTTTTTCTTCACGAATCATCCCTCAATCATCAATCCAATTGCGAATCAAAACTCATATGTTCTTGCTTTATCGATTCATCGACTACACTCATACAAATGCGAACAATACTCAATTTCAAAATCGATTGAAACTTATAGCAAAGCTAAATCCAACTTCGCATTCAAAGCAGTGTTATTGATTGCATTCATGAAATACTAACAAGATAATATATTATAATACAAATATACATATTTTAGGTGGTGAAATCGTAACAGCCTAACAATTTGGTATGCAACTTTATTAAATCAATAAAAAAAGTTATGCAAATTGGAAAAATAAATAAAAATATATCTTTTGTTGTTTTAATTAAGGAAATAAATATTTTATATGAATACTCACCTGGAAAAACGCATATTATAATTGTCTAATTTAATCGTAACAGCCTACCAATGTACTTTCTTCTTGACTGTTTGATTGTTTTTTTCTGTGTGCTGATTATAATTGTCTAATTTAATGTAAATTTTTTTTTTAACTTGCAAGGTACAATGGAACATATTACTCCTATAAAGGAAATTGACTCAATCAAGGACGATTTCACAATTAAAGTTCGGATCATACGTCTTTGGACTCAAAAGTCAAGAACAATGTCTTATAATTGTCTATATCCCATTTTTAGTAATTTATTCTCAAAGAACAATGCTATAATCTGTAATTTATCATCTTTTAGTTTAATTTTCTAAATATATGTGTGGTTGTCTATGTGTGTGTATCTCTTTAAAAATTCTGCAATTTCATCATTTTATGACCCCCATTTGCGAAGTTGAGTATTTATTTCCAAAAATGCGAAACTCCAGGGACAATATTTGAAAATTTCTGTTTTCTTCCCCAATTCGCATTCTACTGTGAAATACTTCGCATCTTCATTCTTACACCCTTCGCATCCCTTCGCATTAATCACCTTCGCATTTTAACCTAATTAATCAAATGCGAACCACAAAATTTTCATTCCAGATGCGAACACAGTTTAGTTCTTGAACTCTAAACTTGCGAAATCAAAAATTCATATATTGAACCCATATGCGAATATTAACCCAATTGACTTCAAATTGATTCACAGATGCAAACACTCGATTGTTTTACTTTCGCAAAATGAGCATCAACAACTCCACAATCGAGTTTTTAAATTCTTGCAAACAACAATTTCACAGTCCTTGACTTCGCGTTTTTCTTCACGAATCATCCCTCAATCATCAATCCAATTGCGAATCAAAACTCATATGTTCTTGCTTTATCGATTCATCGACTACACTCATACAAATGCGAACAATACTCAATTTCAAAATCGATTGAAACTTATAGCAAAGCTAAATCCAACTTCGCATTCAAAGCAGTGTTATTGATTGCATTCATGAAATACTAACAAGATAATATATTATAATACAAATATACATATTTTAGGTGGTGAAATCGTAACAGCCTAACAATTTGGTATGCAACTTTATCAAATCAATAAAAAAAGTTATGCAAATTGGAAAAATAAATAAAAATATATCTTTTGTTGTTTTAATTAAGGAAATAAATATTTTATATGAATACTCACCTGGAAAAACGCATATTATAATTGTCTAATATCACTATTCTTCATTTTTTCTAAACTTTCATATCTTTTTTTTGTTACAAATTAAAAACTATAATTATATTTTAATTTATCACCCGTGGATTTCCACTGGTTTAAACCTAGTTATATAATATTTGATAAGTTATCAAGTCTCGTGAAAATTCTAGTAAAGACGAGTTTGCCACTGTGCAACGCTATATATAGCTAAACCAGTGTTTTACTTTTCATGCCTATATAACGCCTATGTAAGCCTGTTTTCATTTATTACGGTAAGTTTCATGTTTATTATTTAATCAATTTCAAGATTATCTTTTTTATATTTATTACATTTTCATTTATTAAGGTAAGTTTCATGTTTATTATTTAATCAATTTCAAGATTATCTTTTTTATATTTATTACATTTTCATTTATTAAGATAAGTTTCATGTTTATTATTTAATCAATTTCAAGATTATCTTTTTTATATTTATTACATATATTAAGTTTCTTAATGTGGACAAGAAACGGAATGTTGATCTTGCCGATTAATGCGAATGTACAATAACAACTCCACAACCCTCTTCTCATTTCAACCTATAAATACAACATATCTTTTAGCCTTGAAACCCATCTCCATACTCAAAAACACTCAAAATTAACCAATTTTAATCATATTTAATCCTCAAAAACCATGGGTGTCATAACATATACCGATGAACACACTTCCGCAATCCCTCCTTCAAGAATTTTCAAAGCAGCAATCCTCGACTCTCACAATTTAATGCCAAAACTCTTGCCAGATGCTATAAAAAGCATCGAATTAATCCAAGGTGATGGTGGGGCCGGAAGCATCAAGCAGACTAACTTTTCAGGAGGTAAAGTTATATTTAATCAAATATATATTAATATGGTGAAATAATTATGTTTAATTTCAAAATTGCATGTAGGTTATGTGAAACACCATGTAGATGAAGTTGATGAGAAGACATTCACGTATAAGTATAGTTTAATTGAAGGTATGGGCATATCCGACAAGGTTGAAAAGGTGTCATATGATATTAAGTTTGAAGCAACACCTGATAATGGAACCATTTCAAAGATGACTACTACTATTTACACCCATGGTGATTTTGAACTCAAGGAAGAAGAACTAAATGCAGGAAAAGAAAAGGTGTTAGGGCTTTACAAGGTTGTGGAAGCTTACCTTCTTGAAAACCCTGATGCATATGTTTGAAGATTCACATATGTGTTTGATATTTTTAAGATTCCTTGTTTTTTCTGAGAAATAAATATTGCACTATTAATAAAATTTGAGCCAAAAAAACACTTCTTTATATAACGAAGAGAATTGATGATTTGTGTATATCGTTGCTCTAAATCTGACTAGACCTAACTAAGGAACACCCCTCATTTGCAGCAAACTAAGAAAATAAATCTTAATAAAATGTTTACAAGCTTATTTGATGTTTATAATAAGTATAGCCTCTTAAAATAAGATTGTAAACTTGCATGAACCAACAACCTTGATAACGAATTAGGAAACTATATTGTATCAAATTTATATAATTTATAGCTATTGAAGAAATTATCAATTTACATATTTGTCAAGGTGGAGAGATAATATAATGGGTCCAAAGTTTTACGACCTGTGATTTACTAACAGCCAAAGCTTTCATGTTAGCTTTGTAATTTTTTTTTTGTCAGTCGCTGGATTATATATTACAATAAAAAACAAGACCAATTAATACCTTAATAGATGGAAGTGCGAATTTGTTTAAAATATTACTTGGATGTAGTGTAACACATACAGCACTCAAATTCTACTTTTCGTTCTACTTTCTTTTAGATGGTTTTCAAGATTTTTTATTTGAGAGTATGTTAAAGAATCAACTTTTAGTTTGGTCTAGTATGCTCATATTCAGAAATGGAACCTAATTGGTTTTCTTATTTCTCGGATTTAACACCAAGCTATATGTATTTTTTAAGTTTAAACAAACTCAAAAATATAATATTTGAATTAGCATATACTTACTAATAGTTAGATTTCTACAGCATTAGACAAAATCCAACATGCTTATAAATAATAATCAATAATTTCGATATTACCAAATATTTAATAATAAATAAAATTAGTTTAAAATCCTCTAAAAAGGACATTTATAAGGATAAGTTAATTTTCAAATATTCACTTTTTTTGGAATTTCAAATTATCATTTTGATATTATAGTTTATTAAAAATATTGGGGTTATTTTATATGTAGCCATCATGTATGGCCAATTAACACATATAGTCCTCAATTTCTAATAAATAAGTGTTTACAAAAAATTTAGAAATTTGATTTCAATTGACCATTATCACATGATAAAAATAATAATTAAAAAAAAAAAAAAACCAGCAACAACAACAACCGTTTTTCATGCCTACATGACGTCCACTTAAGCACATCTTGATCATGATATGTCTATGTGGATCTTTTTTGTTTAATTTTTATTTTTAATCATCTTTTTTTTTTTAATTTTAAGATTATAATTTTGTTTACATTGATTACATCTCTTACTTTTAAGGGAAAATGACTTAAAAACCCAACGAAGTTTCCAAACCATTCAAAAAACTTCAATCATGTTTTGTCTGTTCAAAAAAACCCAACGAACTTAACATTTTGTCTAAAAAGTCCAACAAAGTTTCAAACCGTTCAGAAAATTCCAATTTTGTTTTGTTTAAGTTCGTTGGGTTTTTTTTGAACAGTCAAAACATGATTGAAGTTTTTTAAACGTTTTGGAAACTTCGTTGGTCTAACAAGTAATTTTTCCGATACGGTAATAAGTCACGTCATCTGTTTCTCTTATTTGACTTTCGAGAAACTGTAACTTAGTTGAGATTTTTAGATAAAATGTTAAGTTTGTTGGGTATTTTTGAACAGACAAAACATGATTGGGGTTTTTTAAACGGTTTGGAAACTTCATTGGGCTTTTAAGTCATTTTCCCTACTTTTAATTTTAGAAACATCACCCCATACACACACATACAAAAGATAAAAGCCAATAAAATGGATGTATATAAAGATTAAGAACATTAACACTAAAATTATGAAACTTATACTTAATTTTGTTTGATTCCTATGGTAATGGTTTATGGCAGCTAAAGCCCATTTCAAATGTGGACAAGTAACAGAATATTGATCTTGCCATTGCCAATGCAAATATACAACTACAATTGCATCAAGTACAACTTCACAATCCTCTACCCATCTCAACCTATAAATACAACCCATATCATCCTTCAATCTCCATACTCCAAATCACTCAAGTCAACCCATTTTAATCATTTTTTAGCCTTCAAAAATCATGGGTGTCTTGACATATACCGATGAACACATTTCCACCATCCCTCCATCAAGAATTTTCAAGGCCTCAATTATCGACTCCCACAATTTGATGCCAAAACTCTTGCCAGATGCAATCAAAAGCGTTGAATTTATCAAAGGTGATGGTGGGGCCGGAAGCATTAAGCAGATTAACTTTGCAGGAGGTAAATTTATATCTGATCCAATATATATTAATAGGGAAAAATATTTGTGTCTAATTAACTTCTTGTATGTAGGTTTTGTGAAGCACGAAATAGATGAAGTGAATGAGAAGACATTCACATACAAGTATAGTTTGATTGAAGGTATGGGCATATCGGACAAGATTGAAAAGGTGTCTTATGATATTAAGTTTGAGGATTCACCTGATAATGGCACCATTGCAAAAATGACCACAACTATTTACACCCATGGTGATTTTGAACTCAAGGAAGAAGAACTAAATGCAGGAAAAGAAAAGGTTTTAGGGCTTTACAAGGTTGTGGAAGGCTACCTCCTCAAAAACCCTGATGCATATGTTTAAAGATTCTCATTTTTAATGTTGTGTTGTATTCATGTTTCGTGTTTTTAAGATTCCCACTGTTTTTGAGAAATAAGCATCACACCATTAATAAAATTTTACTATCAAATATGTTTCCTGATACAATGAAGACACGTCAAGATTTGGGAGGTTAATGGCTTATTATGAGTTTGTTATGTAGACCAAAAAAGATCTGGTGTTATGAGTAAAGCCAAACTGATATATTTGTACAAATATTTGGATTATGTGGTTTCATTTCACGTTATTACATGCTATAGAAAAAAAAAAAAAAAAAACAGATGGCGTCCATATAAGCACATTTTGATCACTTTATATTTATGTTGATCTTTATTTATTTATTTTTTGTTTATATTTATTTTTACAAGTTTTAGATTTTAATTTATGTTTAGTACATAACTTACCTTTCTTTTTAAATTCATGAGAACAATAAAGAACAAAATAAAAGCCAATAAAATGGACTTAATAGACATATTAGCATATAGCAATACCAAAAACACTAACACCAAAGTTAGAGGTGCACAAAAATCGATCCTGAACCGGTCATTGATCGGTTCTAAGTCGATCTTTCTTTTTTATCGGTCTTTTTTGGAGCGGTCTCGATCGGTCCTCGGTCGGTCCTTTTTCGGTTCCGTCCTTTTTTTGGATCGGTCTTTTTTCGGATCAGTTTTGCTATAAACTAGTCAGATACCAGTCTTTTTTCGGTTCGGTTTCGGTTTTTTGTTTTCGATTCGGTTTCGGATTTTTTTCGGGTTCGGTTTCGGATTTTTTCAGGTTTCGGTTTTTCTAGTTTTTTATTTCACTTCAATTGTCTTATGATACATTTCATAACATTATAAATCATCATCCATCAAATAGATACGTAATAATTCCAAGATTTCATAACTTCGACATATCATTAACATATAAACTTAAAAATTAAGTTCATAATATTACATAGAAAACAAAGAGAAATTGGGTTCATAACATTGCATAAAAGACTTAGTAAATATAAATAAGTTCATAACATTAGTGATAATTTCTAAAACATAAATATATCATCAGAATGTTATATCCGGAGGGAAATTCCAAAAGTTGTAGTTGTCGTCGGAATACAGAACTTCTTGGTTGGGGTTGGAGTAATCTTGGTCGGGAGTGATGTTAGATGATGTACTTGTTAAATCTGCATTGCGTGCTTCTTGAGTGTCGACAATATCTTCATCAACATCGGTGTTAGTGTATGATGACACTTCCGCGCCTCTTTTTTCCATTTCATCTACCAAAATCTCGGTTTCCATATGGGTTAACCCTTCTTCAAGATCCACGCTATTTTGTACTCTCTCCATTGAATCATAGTAGTCCTTTAGCATCACCGACATTTGCACCGATTCATCGCTTAGCATACACCTTCGAGCACTTAATATCCTACCACTATGAGAAAAACAACATTCCGAAGCTAAGTTACTAGCTTGGACCGTTAGTACATCCATAGCCATTGAGGCTAGGACTTTATATTAACCTAACCGTTCTCTATCTTCCCACCACTTTAAAACATCCAATTGTGAAAATTGTTCATTGGTTATATTAGAAGCCTAATCAGAATCTTTATACATTGAAAGTTCATCTAAAGACGTTTGATTGTATCTTGGACGTTTTGATTGACTATCCCTAAACCATAAGGATCCGATACTCAAGGAACTAGGTGGCCTCATGATAGAGGTTGAAGAACTAGTTTGTTGAGTTGGTGGCCTCGGGATAAAAGTTGACGAATTTCGAATTGCATATTCATTATCATATATCATATATAATTGTTTAATCATGTCTTCAAAAACTGATATATTTTTAGCTATGTCAATATCATCTGATCCCAAAAGATTTCCGATACTAAGTAGACTATCTGTTACACCTTTAAAATTCACATATGAATTTAGTGTTGAATCGATCATAAAAATCGGTGGAAATTCTTCAAAATATTTTTCAAGCTTTTCCATCATTAAACATAATTTAGTGTATATATATATATATATATATATATATATATATATATATATATATATATATATATATATATATATATCAAAGTTAGAAATAGTAAACTTCTTAAGTGTTTGGTAAGATTGGTCCTAAGGTCATATATGTTTGCTCATTTTTTTTTGTCAATTTTTTTGTCACTTTTGGTCCTCCAACTTATGTTGGTTTTAAAAAACTACTTACATACAACATTGATTATTCACCTTTATGTTTTTGTTCACAAACAACTTTTTCACTTTCGTTTGAATTTTTCATAACTCTCGTCTTTTATTACATATTATTAGTATTTAGTCTTTTAATAGAAATGGTCCCTAATTATTATTATTATTATTATTATTATTATTATTATTATTATTATTATTATTATTGTAAGTTAGGAATAGTAAACTTCCTAAATGTTTGGCAAGATTGGTCCCTAAGGTTATGTATGTTTGCTCCTCTTTTTTGTTACTTTTGGTTCTCCAACTTATGTTGGTTTTCAAAAACTACTTAAAACATCGACCCTTCATCTTTATGCTTTTGTTCACAAACAACTCTTTCACTTTCATTTGAATTTTTCATAACCCTTGCATTTTATTACATATTATTAGTATTTAATTTTTTGGCAGAATTGGTCCCTTATTATTATTATTATTATTATTATTATTATTATTATTATTATTATTATTATTATTATTATTATTATTATTATTATTATTATTATTATTAGACAAAATTACACGATTGGTCCCTATGGTTTACCAGATTTAACACATCGAGGACAACCATGGAAACCGAAATCACTCTTTTACTCATAATTCAATTGTTTTTATTAATTTATATTTTTCTTTTTGGTTTTAAATTAATGTTTTATTTATTAGAAATACTCACCCAATACCATAAAGCCATCCACCAGCTGCCATCTCCACCACCACCACCGCCAAATTACATAAATGGTCCATATGGTTTAGCCGTCGTCACAAATTCAGTCCTTACTACCTTAAAAGACCAAATTACCTTCACATTAACAGACAAAAAACAACGTTCTATATTTTCCGGATTGGTTTTCCTGTCGCTGCTATACATGGCAATAAAGTTCAATTTGAGAAACCATTTCTTTATTTTCCTCATTTATTGCAAGAAATAATGATTTAGATTTATTTACTTATGTAATTAGATGACATTGTTTATCTTCCTTTACTAGATTATTTAAATGCAATTCAACATGCTACTTTATTTTACAAAGCAATACCTTCTGACCCCGGCAACGCTTGGGAATCTTTTCTAGTTTATAATTAATAACTTGCATTGTCTTTGTTATATGGACTAGTATTAATCATAAACTAAGCTAACTTAATCATAAATTAAATTACTTCTAAATAAAAAATTAAAGTAAACTAATTAAACATAAGAAACTATTAAAGCGATAATAAAAAAAATTAAGAAAACTTACATCATGTCGTTCTAGTGTCGCATTTGCACCGGCATAAACTTTTCCACACCGATAGCATCTACCGTATAATTTTTTCTGTTGACGTAGTTGCGCAAAATTATTCCAAACAAGTGCGGTACGATTTTCTTTGCTAATTTCACCAATTGGTTGGTTCGGATCAAAACCGGAGCGACCAACGGGACGGGAACTACTTTCTTCGTCACCCGACATTATCCGAATGTGGAAACTTCAAGCTTTGTAGTGTAAATTTAGAGATGTTTTGAGTAAGGGATAGAATTTGAGGTGAGACAAATAGTTGGATATGAATAAGTATTTATAGTTTTGTTAAAAATATGAGTTAATATTTTACAATCTCATATTTATTATTTAAAACAAAGTGTTATGTGACTGAGGGGTTGTTATGTAAAGCTTGTATTCTTTGTGTAGTTAAGTGTAAATGTAGGTATCAGGATTGATACGAGGGTTATAGTCCGGGTTAATTTTGGTTCGGGTTATATTCGTGGTTGATATCCAAGGTATAAAAGATGAGAGAGAAGACTGTTCGTTCATTCAGTTGTTCAAGATCTAAGAACATATTAGGGTTTTCTCTCAATTCTCTCTTCTCATTCTAACACTCGTATACTCTTCTTCATTATGTGTAAGCTAAGATAGTCTGTCTATGAGTCTGATTGTTTTTAGATTTTGTTTGTGTCTTAGTTGATATAGATTAGGTTGAGTGTATTGTAATGAGAGTAGATTAGGTTTTTTATGCAGTGAGGTTTGATCTGTAAGTTTGTGAAAACCGCCTGTTTCTTTGTCCTTAATTGATATAAGAAGTCGTGATGTTGGGAAGTTTGCTTTGTGTCTTTTTAACATGGTATTAGAGATGTAAGGCTCATGGTTGTTGATCCTGACATCTCGCTTCTTGTCAGTTGATCTCTTGGTGTTGATGATTCTTTGAGAGGTATTTTGTTCCTCTTCTCTCACAGTTTTTTGGCTTTGTTTTTTGGTTAGACGATTGAGAGTTCTAGGGTTGTTGTTTGTCAACCCTAAACTTGTGTCGATTTGTTAAGATCCTGGTATTGCGAAGTTTTTTGTTCTTGATCTTTCAGGTTTAGTGAAGATCGAGTGTTAATCCAAGCTCCGCTGTTGAAAAATCTAACCGTCGCAGTGGAATCGATCAATCCTGTAAATCTGAAATAATCCTCTTGGGGTCGGAATTGATCACCGATAAACCCTTGAAGGGAACGGATTCAGGGAGTTGATATTGTTAATCGGTTCTTGTCTATTGCACTGTGAGGTTTTCTTGTTCTCTTTTTCATCTCTCTTTGTCTATTGGGCTGTGAGGTTCTTTCTTGTTCTTTTTTGTCATATTTTCTATCTGTTGATGTGGAAAATTATGGTTTCCTGAGCACACCGGTTATTTGTTATATGTTTCTTTGAACTCTGTGTTGATTGTCTTGGGCCCCGACATATTGTGGTAACCATCTGGACTTTAAGTCAACACAGGTGTTTATGATTTCTGATCTCTTTGTTGATCTATTTGCTGTTTTTTTGTGATTAACTATGGCTGGTGATACACTTGAAGGAAGTGGTATTCCTAAATATAATCAAGTTGATTTTGATGATCCTTTATATGTTCATCCTTCTGATAATACTGTGACTTCTATTATAACAATTAAATTGACTGGTAATGAAAATTATCGTCTGTGGCGTAGTGCTATGTCTAGAGGTCTTAAGGCTAGGAAAAAATTAGGATTTGTAGATGGTACTATTACTTTGGAAAAAACTGAAGCATCTAAAGCATCTAATTGGGAACGTGTTAATGTTGTTGTTTGTAATTGGATCTTGGGGTCAATTTCTGAGACTATATATGCTAGTCATGTATATTCTGATAAGGCTAAAGATATTTGGGTTGAGTTGTTTGAGACTTATAATAAGGCTGATGGTTCTGTCATTTTCAATATTCATCAACAGATTAATAGCTTAAAACAAAATGGGTTGTCTCTTTCTGATTACTATAATAAACTTGATTCACTATGGAAAGAGTTTGATGGTCTAACTTGTTTAACTGAATGTGTTTGTGAGGCTGCTACTAAACTTAATGATCACTCAGAATTAATGAAACTAATGCAGTTCCTTAGTGGTCTTGATGATGTTTATAATCAAGTCAAGAGTCACATTCTGTTAATGGAACCCTTTCCAAATGTTAAGACAACATTTTCTATTCTTTCTAGAGAAGAGTCACTTTAAAAGAATGGGTCTCTTGGTAATATTGTTTCCTCAAAACCACAAGTCTTTGTGTTTGATAGTAAAGCAAATGATTTTTAAACGAACACAAGGTCAAACCAGATCTAGAAATCAGGGATTACAGTGTAAAACACTGTAATCTTAAAGGTCATACAATAGATAGGTGTTATAAGCTAATTGGTTATCCAAAAGATTTTAAACCTAAAAGTGATAATAATAACCAGAACAAATCTTTTTCTGTGAATTCCTCTTCTATTGAATCTAATAGTAAAACTTCAGCTTCTTCTGAGTCTGTTCCCAGCAATGGTGCTCATCTTCTTACTGATGAACAATATTCTAAGTTCCTTCGTCTTATTAGTGAACATTCTCACAATGAAGATGTGTCTGTTATTTCTAATATGGAAGGTATGTCATTGTTTCAGTGTTGCAATTCATTTGTTAGTCCTAATAGATCTCAAAGTTTGATTGTTGACTCAGGAGCTAATCAACATATGATAGCTTCTGAGTCACAACTTCAGGATGTTATAGATGTCTTTAGGCTTAATCTTCTTTATAAACATCCTAATGGGTCTTCAGCTCCTATAAATAAAATTAGAAATCTTCATTTATCTTCACATCTTACTTTATTTGATGTATTAGTTGTTCCAGACTTTAATGTTAATCTTTCATCTATTCATAAACTTTGTAAAGATAGTGGGTGTGAAGTTGTTTTTTCTGAACATAATTGTGTAATCCAGGATTCACTATCAAAGAAGATGGTGGAGAATGGTAGAGAATATGAGGGATTATACTACCTTGATGGTG